TTTCAGATAGTTGTAGAGAGCAATAAGGTCTGCCCCTAGCCTCCTTTTCTCCAGACTAAACAACCCCAGATCTCTCAGCCATTTCTCATAGAGCTTGTGCTCTAAACCCTTCATCAGCTTCATTTGGAAACGCTCCAGCACGTCAATGTCTGTCTTGTAGTGAGGGGCCCAAAACTTCACACAGTACTAAAAGTGTGACTTCCCCAGTGTGAGTACAGGGGAATGATCATTTCCCTGGTAATGGCACTTCCACCAAGAACTTGAATCAAAAATGGAATTTTAAACTTCATTTTAACCTACTCTTCATTTTCTGAATTACCTACAGGCATTCTGATATACTACGTTACGTATAAATATTTTGCAGATAATGTTCCTTAATAGAATAGAATGGAATTAATAGAAAGTTTTATGTGGATTTTTTGTGAATTATTTGAAGTAATGTTTCTGGCAAATATTTGCAGCCTGGATTGGCCTTTGGCTACTGAGTTGCCCAAAATTACTGCTTCTTAAAAGCTCTTTTTCTTAGAATTGGTCAACCAAGACCTTTTCTGATAACTTTGCAAGCATTTATCATCCTCGTATGAGTTTATGCATGCAATTCTTCCTACAAAAGATAGATGCAATTGCAAATGGCACTATTACAGATGTCTGTCAAAATAAGGAATATGAATGCAGGAGGATGGAAGGGGTTTAAGAAGACAGAATACTTTATTTTTTGCAGCGAAAAAAACCAAACAGATATTTACTGACATTTCTGGGAAAAGTGTTTATGCAAGCATTGTTTCTCATAAGTCTATTGATTCAATAAAATTAGCATATGAAATTTTTTTAACCATCTAATCTCTTTTAGGGGGAAAAGGGAGATCAAGGTCCAAGAGGCCCGGAAGGACCCCCTGGCAAAGGAGATGTGGGCCAAAAGGTATGGCTTGACATGCACACTAGAGAAATACTACAGTCTCTAGGAGGACCTATTTTATAAGAGTCCAGATTTTGGCCTATTTTTTTCATTCACTATATTTTAAGTAGCAACTATATTTTAACTGATGATTTAAAAGGATTTAAGAGAGAATGATGTGTTCCTTAGCCTGAACAAGTGCAGCAAAATTGGGCTATAAACATAGACCCTAAGGTTAATTGTGCAGTGGAGATTTCCTAAAAATTCAGTCCAGAGTTTTCATTAAAGTCAGGAAGAGGCAAATCATCTCAGTATGCTGACAGGGAGAGAAGAGGAGCTAAAGGAAATTAAGTGACTAATTAGACATCTAAATATGAAATTAAAAGCCTGGAAAGATGTATTAGTAGACAGACAAATGCTTTTATCTCCCACCTGTTTAAATGTAGGGCATTTGGGGCAGATTCTAAAACTGAGTGAGACTGCAGTTAGCGTGAAGCATCTAAATACCTTTCTGATTAAGGACATCATTGTTGTCGTGTTTTTGCTTGTTTGTGTATCTCGCAGTTGTGAATGAAGCTTTGCCATGATTTAAACAAAAGCTTTGTTTTTATCAGGGTGACCCAGGAGAAAAAGGATCCCAAGGACTGATTGGTTATAAAGGAGCACAAGGCCCAGCTGGACCAAAAGTAAGCTTGTTCCTCCAGGGTAACCCTTCACTTTGTATCTTATAAAAGTATCTATGGAACTTATGTACAAATTTCTCAAGTGTCTGATGCTTGGAGATGTAACAGAAAAAAAGGAAAAGCAGAAATATTTCCACCCTCTGTCGTGAATGACACAAAAGTCCTGAGGAGAAAAAGAATAAGTAAATGTATACTTACAGACCTTACAGTTATACATGAGCACTGAGAAGCTAAATTAAAGTTTTCCAAGTGATTCTAGCCATGATCATTTCACAAATTTTTACTTTGAAACATTGGATTTCTATTATACTATTTTGTAATAAGTGTCTCTCTGAATGGTAAGGAAATTGAAATACTATCAGTGTTCTGGTTATTCCATTGGCTTTGTAAGCTGGACACAAAAAATTAAGTGAAGTTAAAAAATCAAATACATGGTTCAACCAATAGTTACTTAAAACATGAAACTTGGACCAGCTTTCACAAGAGCAGTAAGTTGATTTATGTTTTTTCCTAAATATTGTCTATTTTCACCTGAAGTGGTGGAGATATTTTTATAATATAAAGTGTTGAAAAAACTTTTGCTACTTGCGCAGAAAATGAAAGTGTATTTTTATATCTAGATGATACCATTTTGTAACAGGGTGAACCGGGAGAGAGAGGGCCCCCTGGTGTCACTGGATCATCTATTCAGGGACCTGCTGGACCAAAGGTGATTATCTGATACATGTTTGCTGGAGACCAGAAATGGGAAAACTTCTAGTGTACATTTCTGTCAAAAGAATATAAGTTAAAATTCATTTTGGTAGCAACAAAGGTGACTGAATTTTAGAAATAAGAAGTGAAAAGTACTAAAAATTAACAGAGAGTATTTGGAGGCCCTTTAACATGATGCTGAACTTTGTACATGTTATTGCTTCCCGAAGCCATTTGTTTTTTTAAAAAAAAATCCTTATTATATTTCTGTTGTGTTTTGGCCCCTCCTGTGAAATTAATCACTTTGACGTCTTCTTTTTTCAAATTTGCTATGCATTATTTTCTTAGAAAGACTAAAGTTTTCCTAAATGTGGCAGTAAATACCTGCAGGAATGTGTCTATGTGTAGTTCCAGGGAGTTATATGCTGAACTAGAAGATTTTTTGGAGGTGAATGTTTGTATGTCACTTCCAAGTGAACAGCTGGCCTCTAGTTAATACTTTAAATAAAATGTCATCTACAAGATAGTTAAAGCTACATCCACCTCATTTTGTCTGTGGGGAAAGTGTACCTGAAATGAATAGGAGTTGGTGTTCTGAGTAAAATAAGTGGATTCAGCAACAGTAAAACTAACTTTGAAGGTTTTAAAAACATTTGAAAATTCACTAACACCCCGTTTTTATTTTAAGAATAAAATAGTTGGTTTTAAAATACGTCAGTTAACTTCGACTTTAATTGATGCTCTTCAGCTTTGGTGATAGTTTTTAGAGAAATCACTAAAGTACATCCTGTCACTCTGAAGTAATTTCATCCCCATTTTTCTTCTTCCTTAAACACCTATGTGCCCCCACAGAGAAGCACATGTGGGTAACGTACATGCAATGTACTCATCAGCCTGGCAACAGGACATCACAGAGGGCTAGGATGTGGTTTGGACTTGTTTGTGCATGGAGGAGGACAGAAGAAGGGAACATCAGAAGCTCGGGGTACCCCTGCAGTAAAAATGTAACCACAGAGAAGAAAGAAAGGAGAGGACTGTGGGGTGCTCATATCTCTTATATTGGTTTAAAACCACAACAATGTGCCAAACTTTACGGCAAGAAAATATAAGTGGCATGCTATAAGGCACAACTTGTATGAAGACAGGTTTCACTACACTGGTCTCCCTTCTTCACACTTTCCTGATTACTGTGACATTCTTGAATAGATAAGTAAGTGAGTCAATGTTATTTATTGATAAAATTTGTGCTGAAAAATAAGAACTTTGTAGACTCTATTGCCTTTTTCATTCTGATTTGATTCTGTTCAATACAGTTCGTATCACTGTCATAGCAGACTGGCCATAATCCAAAATTCAGTGGAGTCTGTAGGAGTGTTTTGAAGCTCGCTCTTTACTAAATTTTAGATCAGGGCTTTTATGTATGTGCAGTGGCTGATGTGAGAAAACAAGTAGTTCAGGTAATTATAAAATGCAAGTTGTTTTTTAGAAAATATACAAAACTTTGTCTCTTTAGCTCCATAATAATTTCCTTGTTTAAACAAATATCTCCCATGTTTCTGACAATTGCTCAATAATATAACAGGCTACACATGGCCATTTCCCTCTCCACTGCGGAAGGTACAAAGATTACTAGTAATTGTGTTCTTGGAACATCCTGATATCTGCAGCAGGGAAGCCAGACATAAATTTCTGATGCAGGGAGTCTGCATGTTTTTCTGAGCTGGGAGTTATCATGGTCTGAGGTCTTTTTAGTACATCTCTAAGTATTTGATGTAGTAGTGGGTGATCACTTGAGGTCTTAACTCCTGGACAGACATGGTTGTGTCCATTGGAAATTTATTTATTTTAAGCTACACCCACGTTTGGGGACTAGAGTTTTATTTCCCTTGACAACCATTATGCTGTTACTAATATGGAGACAGTAACATCAGATAGCTTTTTTTTCTCATATTCCTTTCTCATGGTTACAGCTGCTCGGTGGTTTTGATAGAATATTTGACCTGCATTCCCTAGTGAACGTTTCCTGAAATACTGCCTGTCCTTCTCACTAGTCTTAAAAATTGCAAAAGTTTCATTGAAAATCAAAATTTTCTTTTTACGATCCTTAATGTAAAGTAAACCATCTGTTGCCATAGATTAAACACTAGAAGGAGCCAAATTTTGCTCTGTAAAGGGATAACATGAGGAACTTGAATTCTAAGCCTAACTGCTTTCCATGAAGCCACTGAGAGAGCTAATATTACCAAATGGTTGTAGTGGATAATATTTCAGGGAAAATCTCCAGTTTCCTCCTGGGACTTCAGAAAAGCCAGACTGTGGAGCTTGCAACTTTGAAGTGCTGCACTGTTGCATCTGTAGCCTTTCTAAACATACTCTGTGTCAGCACATGTCTTTGAATTTGTTCGCTGTTCTCTATGTGCTCTGGCAGAAACAAGGTTATGCAGCCTTGCACCAATTTTTGCTGGTTTGTGTGGGCAAAAGCAGGCAGAAGCCACAGGTGAATCCAGCCACTGAAACTGAGTTATAATATTCAACCTTCAGTTGAAAACTAAAGCTGTTAAGTTATTCATCAAGGCAGAACAAACTGTTTGACACAGTTACCATGAGGCAAAGGTGTAAGAGAGGTCAGAATCAAGAGTAAAAAATCAAGTAAAAGCTTCTCTAGAAATACTGAGTTCATATTACCTACCTCAATAATTGTCGCTGTCAGAAAGAATTGAGTATTTATTCTTTTCTGTAAAACTTCAGAAATTAAAATAAAAAATAATGAATATATGTTTTTGGGTTTGTTTCTTTTTGGGTAGGGGGATCCAGGACCCAAGGGGCCACCAGGAGATGATGGACTTCCTGGAAATTCAATAATGGGACCAACGGTAGGACTTTTGAAACAAAAGGTGGAAAATAAAGAGATATGAAACATATGCAAAACTCTTATGAAAATGTAGAAACCACTTGAACAACTTTTTCAGGAAAGTAACTAACAAGTTCTTCAACTTTTCCATCATTCCAGGTTAAGTCTATTTTTAAGAGTAAACTTACTATGTCTTCAAAGAAGAAACAAAAAATAGATTAAATAATTAGTCCAGTGTATCTCACCCTGCAAACTTCCCTCAGAAAATCTTAATTAGGAAGGTAGCTTTTCAAATTCATCTCCACCTTTCGCTACCTCATGTGGTCTTTTATACTTCTGTGTGGACAATATGCTCTTTACTGAGTATAAACCGAGAAGTATTAGTTATTGTAAGAGTGACGTTCCAGTGTTACCAACCTTGCACATTCAAAAACATAGGTAAGACCCAAAATAATGAATTTAAAAATTAGATCTTTTGGAAGTACTTATTTGCATATAGGTTACAGAATAGGATTTCCTTGGTTATATCCTTTACATTTTTAACTTCAACACAGAGAATGGAGTATAGAAGTCTGAGCAGGATTTCTGTGCTTATTGTTCAAGCCTTTAATGGTTAACTGGCAAGATCAACACACAAATGAAAGATGAGAAATACAACTGAGGATTCAGTGGTAACACAGAGATTTCAGTCTTTGTAAAAGTCACAGACTGAAAAATTCTCCTCTGTGGTACACGTGAGTTGACATAAAGCTTCTTGAAGAATAAGGTGAGACCAAGGACCATCCTCTCACCAGTGGGAAATCAGTTAGAGGAAAAGGATATAGAATAATTTGCAAAGGATTAATTTTATGGGTTTTGATCACTGTTGAATGATGAAGTGACCTTTTCAAAGAATGATTCTATCGCTCTCCTGTTTCTTAAGAGGTTATAGTATTGCAGGGTGACTATTAGGTACATAAAGGTATGATTGCTTTTTCTCCTTGCATAATGCTTACAGTTATCAGCATGGAATTTTGTCTGATATTTTATCACCAAATGACTCATTATTTAAGGGTTTTTCCTCAACTTCTTGGAACTGTCTCTCATTTAATTAATCAGAATAACATGACATCATTAGAAAACAGTGCCACTCACCTTTCTACATTATTTAAGAGCAAACTGCAGTCCCTAGAACACTTCTTATGTCCTCTACTGCAAAAAATGGATGTGTTTCCTTTTACTTTGCAGCTTTCACCTTCTCCCCTCTAGTGCATTTTATGATATCATATTGTACTTCTTTCAGTCATGATCTGGGTCGAAACTTTCCATAAGCCTTCTGCCACTTGTGATAAGGGAATAGTTCAGGAAGAATTCCTTCAGTTTTGGGGAAAGATACCATTCTTGTGATCTCCTTTCCAGATTGAAGCCAGGAACCTTCTTAGTAAACCTCTTTTTTTCATGTTTACCGTGTCTGCACATAAAATGTTCCACTCAATTCCACTGTTTCACTTCTTGGGATGACAGTTGATAGACCCAAATTCAGAGACCAGCTAATTTATGTGTACCTAACACAATGTAGTACAAAATAAAGGAACTTAATACAGTAACTTTTATGCGATAACATCTTAGGAATACCAGTAATGCTTTACTCCTGGCTTGACAGACTTCCACCAGTACACCTACCAGAGGATGCACATTGATCCACATGCATTCAGTAGCTTGTATTTTTGAATTTTCAAAAACTCTAAATTTATTTATTTTGTCTATAATCTAGAATGCTACTTCACTCTGTTTTTCTTATAAAAAGAAATGACAGACATCACTTAATTGTCCAGTCATATACTTAATCGTTCAGGTTTTGATTCTGGCAGTTATTTTTTATCTTAACAATGACAATGTCCTGTAGGATATGCAGAATCCCATCTGTAAATAATTTTACACTTTTTCCTCTTACTTACGTATGGTGATATCTATAGAAAGTGAAAGCCATGGACACAAGATTTATGCTTATGTCCTGTTTATCTTTTTTATTTTATGTTATTACTTTGAA